ATCAACCTGACTTGGCGACTGAATGGCTAACTTGACATAGTTGCAATGATTTTTCCTTGTCTTAAAATGTTTTTAATAGCAGGTGAAAATGAATAACATGCTTTCCTCATAAGAATCCTTTATGGCAGGCAGTACTAAGTTAGAACCCCAGTTTACTGAGACTCGGAGAGGTTAAAAGGCTTGCCCAGCTACTAAGTGAAAGAGCCAGTTCTGAATGCTGGCTTGAGGCTGAGACCAATGGGCTCTTTCCACTAGATCACTGATAATCTGCTATCAAGTGCATTGTTACTGGTTTTGCTAAAAAAAAATTATTCAAGAAACATATCAATTTGTACCTCATTTCAAGCCTGCAAGAAAACATTTTATTTTTTATTGACTCTTTTATTGAAAAGTGTGTATTGGCCCATTTGTGTGTGTTTAAGTGTTTATGGGCAAGTATGTGAGTAATGTCTATGTGTGCATATGTGTATACATGCAAATGTATGTAAGTGTGTGCATGTATGTGAGTATATGTGTGTGCATGTGAGTGTATGTGAGTATGTGCATGTTGGGGTTGGTATGAAAGGAATCATTATATTTAAATAGCACAGAGATATAGCTTGTTATTATAAAGAGAACACTGCCCTGAGAGTCAAAAAGCCTTGTCTTCAGTCAGTTTGCCTTCTTGCTACCACTTTCCCTCTTGACCTGTTTCCTCAACTACAAATGACATGGTTGAATGAGATGATCGTTGAGGCCTCTTTCATACAGTGAAATAAGCCCTAGCCCTGGAATCAGAGGACCTGAGTTCAAATCTCACCTCTAATGTCACCTTTGGCAATCACTTAACCTTTCTGGGCCTCAGTTTCCCCATCTGGAAATGAGGGAGTTGAACCAGATGGCCTCTCAGGTTCTTTGTATCTCCAAATCTAGGATCGTTCCAGTCTTTGTTTCCTAGAAGATAAACTTCACTTTCATTCCAAGGTTTCCAAAGCATGAAATAGATGTTCTCTTATTCTTAGTTCTCTTCTGAAGATACCAAGCAAGACAGATGGAAGACCAGCTAGCTATCTGTGGCCACAATAGGTTGGACTGCAGCGCCTTTCTGGAGTTCTCCCAGAGCATTGCTGGTGAGGTCAGAAATAGAACATGGCATCCTGACTCCAGGCTCCATGCCACGTCTAGGAGGACATGCCGTTCCCATGCAGATGGAAAGATATTGAGATCATACATCAGAAACCCTTTGATCATCTACCCTGGGGATTCAAGGTTAACAGAAATATCTTTGCAGAGCCAAGTGACATCAAAGGGACGGACTCTGGACAACTGGTTTCAAAAAGAACTCGACAGTCATGGACATCTTATACTTCTTGGTGGTCATCAGGCAAATGCTGTCAGGTTCTGATTTGCTACCTATCTATTGAGAAGGGGTGAAGCTGATGCAGATGGTGTTTGTAAACTGTAGTTCTGTCCTTGATACATCACTGGTCCCTCATCACTGCCTTTGGATCCCCAGTGCTTAGCAAAGTGTCTGGTATGTATTAAGTGCTTGAGAAATGCTTGTTTGTTGACTGACTGATTGATTCCATGAGTCTACTTTCTTAGGGATGTGGAAAGGATGAAAAAATTGCTACAGAATTTGCTTAAGTACTATAGGGAAAAGATGCTACATAACCCAAACTATTTTTACTATTAAGCTCTGCTGGTAGAGGCTGGTCATACACACATTTGGGTTATTTCTAAAAGTTTCCCACATTGACCTACATGGAGGAAAACACTATTTATTATCAATGAAGAGCTAGGCTTCTGAGCTGGAGTTATGTTGTGCAACACCTCCATCATGTAGGTGAGGAAACTGAGGCCCTTAGAGGAGAGGGGTTTTATTTGCTTAACATCTAGAAAGTAGCAAATCTGTGACTCAGACTCAGATCCACTGACTTCAAGCTAATATTCTTCCTACGATAAAAGACTGCCAATCCTTGAGACCTTAGCTGAACCCTTTTATCAGGAGATGGATGGATAGATGGATGGATGGGTGGTAGATGGATTGATGGATAGGTGAATGGATGGGGAGAGAGAGGGGGGGGGGAGAGAGAGAGAAGAGAGAGAGAATTTATAAAGTTATTGGAGGAGAGAGAATTTGGTACTCAAAATTTTTTTAAATGAGTGTTAAAAATTGTTTTTACATGTAATTGGAGAAAAATAAAATATTAAATTTTTAAGTTATTATTATTGTTCTTAAATTGCTTGGATGGGCTCAAGGTCAGACTATCCAACCTTGTTAGACAAGGTATCTGGAAATTCATATTATCTGGGATAGACAGAGGTTTCAGAGGGTGCAGACTACTCATCAATTTCTTTTTTTAAATAATTTTTATTGGTTTCTTTTATTTCTATATTGCTGAAATCCCCCCCCCCCTTATTCCTCTCCCCCAGTCATCCATAAAACTACATAATGGTTTTCAAAAAAGTCACGATGCTTTCATCAGAAAGGAGGGCATTTTGTTACTATGGTAGAGAAGGCAGCATGACAGTGATCAGAGGACTGAAGTTAGGTTAAGGAAGACCTGGATTCTAGTCCTGTCCCTGAGACATGCTCACTGTGTGGCCTTCGGCAAGGACGCAGCCATGATCATGTAAGAGTCTAAGTTCATAAAAGACATTCAACATTAGAACATTCCCACCCCAGTGAAATCCAAGATTTGGATCAAAAGAGAAAAAAAAGTGGAAAAGAAGTCAGCAGATTCTATCCTCCCTTCAGTACTGTTTAAGAAGGGCTCCAAACATGACCAAGGTGAATTTCAGAAAGACAGAGCCCAGAGATGGAGCAGGAGCTTATAGGCACTCTCTGAATCATTCAGGTTCCCAGACTTGGAGTCATCTTTGACTCAGTTTCCTTTATTTTCTAAATCAATCCAATTACTCCTTTCTGTTTGTTTTTTCCTTCTAAATGACTCTTGTTTCCATCCCTTCCTCTTATATTCTTTAGTCCAAACTCTGCTAACAGATTCCTAGTGGATTTCTGACTCCAAATACCCCCATCTACAAAGTGGGGGACAGTTAGGCAGTTCAGTGAGTAGAGCACTGGACTTAGATGTAGGAAGACCCAAATTTGAATTTACTTCAGACACTTACTAGCTGTGTGATCCTGGTCAAGTCACTGAACCTCGTCTGCCTCAGTTTCCTTACCTATAAAATGGGAATATGATAGCACCTCCATCCCAAGGTTGCTGTGAGGATTAAAGGAGATAACCAATGGGAAGGAAGTGCTTTGCAAACCTCAGAGCATTCGACAAATGTTAGTTATTTGTGCTATTCATTCTGTGTGTCATTCCCAAATGAGTCATCCTTAAACACTGCTCCCTCCAGGGCCTCCTCTCCTCAGGAGTCTCTCTTACCTGCCTCTGTGTGCTCAGGACATCCAGTCTGCACCACTTCCTTGCCTATTTCCCACTCCTCCCAGCAGACGTCCTCCATCTGAGTCAGGCTGTGACTCCCCAGTCCTGTGAACCGGCTGCCGTCTTTGTGCATCCTTCATTCACAGAAGGTCCTACCCCAGACGACGCCTTGCCTTCCGCCTCTGACCACTAGCCACCCTCCAGGCTCAGCCCAAGGTCCACCTTCTCCGTGAGGCCTTCTCTGCCTGCCCCAGCCTCTCTTCACAGCTCCTTTCTCTGATATCCTACAGAGCTCACTGACCCTACCACACAACTGAGAACCCATGATCATGGCCAGAAACGTTTATTCCTTGGTGATCAGACAAGGGGTCAAAGATTTAGGATCTGAAGGGAACTTAGAGGTCAATGAGTGCAGCTCCCTGATTTTGCAGATGAGGAAATTGAGGCCCAGAGAGGTTATGGGACTTGCCCAAGGTCAAAAAGATATTAAATGACAGAGGTGGGATTGGTTAGAAGGGACGAACCTTTAGAGACTTCTGACTCCAGTTCATTCTTTTAACAGATGAGGGTAAGGTAGTGCATCAGGTTCACACAGCTAGTAAATGTTCAATGTAGGAGTTGAACCCGGGTCTCCCTGACAGTTCTAGTTCTCTATCTAGAAATAATTAGGTGACACAGTGGATAAAACACTGGACCTGGAGTCAGAAAACCCTGAAATCAAATTGGACTTTAGGCAATTACCTGCAGTGTTTCCCTAGACAAGTCTCTCATAACCTTTCTCTGCCACAGTTCCTTCAATTATAAAATGGGGATAATAAAGCACCTAACCCCCAGGGTTGTTGTGACAATCAAATGAGATTATTTGTAAATCACTTAGCACATAGCAGGCACTTAATAAATGCTTGTTTCCTTCCCCCTTCCTTTTTCCCTTCTTTCCCTCCCTCCTTCCTTTCCTTCCTCCCTCTCTCCCTCCTTTGCTTCTTCCCTCCTTTCTTCCTCTCTTCCCTCCCTCCCTTCCTTCCCTCCGTCCTCCTTTCTTCCTTCCTTTCATTCCTCCCTTCTTCCCTTTCCTCTCCTCTCCTTTTCTTTCCTCCTTCCATCCTTTTTTCCTTTCCATACATGAGCTAGGCTATGCCTCTGGCGACAGACATACAATTAGTCTCATCTTCCCAGTGATAATGTAATTTCCGCGAAAATGAGGAAACTACCTTAAACTCCTCTATCTCCCATGGTAGCAGAGGGCTGTCTTCAGGGGGAGTGATACTTAGGAAAATGTAGGTGATGTAAAAACAAGAGCTACCAATCAAAATTTACCTTTTAAAAAAGGAATAGATACTTGTTTCATGGCTGATTGATTGATAAAGTTGGAGAGTTGAATTAGAAGTGAGGCAACAGCTATAACGAACATGTGAATGCTGGGGAAGGGCTGGGGAGCAGATGACCAAGTGTATATTCAGTCATTCTTCATCCTCTTTCTGGACACTTGTTATTTTACTAAAAATTGCTCAGTCAGCCTCCCATGACAATTTTTGTGCTTTTATTGGTTTGAAAGATACCGTGGCTTTCCCCTACTTCCACGTTCCCCTTTGGGAAACCCACACATACCCCACTGTAGATACTCACGTTCATTTCTGCTTTGGATTCACAATGGAAGTTTTCAAATGTGTACTTCTCTGATCTCCTCTGGCGCCTCTTGAACAATCTGGCCCCTCGATTACTGAGCACTGACAGTTCTTCCAGCATGATGTCTCTGGGGATGCTGAGCTTTTTGCCCAGGTCCATACCATCTACTTCTGCAAAGAAGACACAAGATCCTGGTCACCCTTTGCTCAGTGTTTCTGGACGTTGGCTTAATTCAGCATCTGTAGTACTCTCTCTCTCTCTCTCTCTCTCTCTCTCTCTCTCTCTCTCTCTCTCTCTCCCCCTCTCTCCTTTCTCTCTCTTTCTCTTTCTGTCTCTCTGTCTCTCTCTCCCTCTCTCCTCTCTCTCTCTCTCCCTCTCCCTCCCTCTCTCCTCTCTCTCTCTTTCTCTCTCTGTCTCTCTGTCTCTCTCTCCCTCTCTCCTCTCTCTCT